TCCACTGAAATCAGCATCAAACTGACGGCTGCGGTGGGTTTTGTTTTCTGTAACAGTTCATCCACTTCTGCTGGACGAACAATAGGAATTAGAAAATTACGTAAGTGGCATTTTCTTCTTATCATTTCAGGTCCCTGCGCGGTGTCCCCCCCGACGCTGGTGATGCAAACCTGTTGTAACACGATGTGAACGAGGAGCCCAGACACATCTAAATAATGTATAAATGATACGTCTTGTTAGCTCGGACTCGCAGGTTCAGTTGTCTTCTCGTGCACCAAATGATCAATGTCCTCCTATTATCCTCATGCACTCTCTCCAGCTCCATCCCCAACTCTCCCCCGCCTCTCCCCAGGTCTTTCATGTTGCCCTCTGGGAGCAAAACAAAACATGGGTTTCTACTGCAAATAAGGAGCTAAAACACCATGTGATCAGTCATGAATTATTTGAACAGTATTGATTTGTATAAATCGTTGCATTTCCCCAGAGCGTTTGACCGAGAACAACAGTATCTTTGCAGGGGGACTTGAGGAAAATACTCTCATTTTATTTCTGGCATGAATGAAAGGAAACGATTTTAAGGAAACGCTCGTATAATTAGTGAGTAGATTTAACGTGAAGAGCAAACTGTGCCTTGTTAAGAAGAGAGAGGGAACGAGAGAGGAGAAGAATATGTTTGATTTTCAAGCATTGTCAGTGGATTACTGTGTTTTCCCTGCAAATCTGCTCTGCATTTAAGGGTATAATGTCAATTTCATGCCTTTTTTTCCTTCAACAAGAGGCCCCGGTGCCCTGTGGGTAGATCGCAGTTAGAGAATACACAGGAAAAAAATAACAATCCAGAGCGGAGAACCAACATATTCCCAAAACATCCCAGTTGAGTGCGAGCTAATGTTCAGCACATTGTGGTATTTTCATGTTGAATTTTTTTTCTTCTTTCTTTCTTATTTTCTGCCCCGAAAGCCTCATTTAGATGGCAGACGAGGCTTTTGAGCAGCCTGTAGTCTCTGTGGACCGCTGCAGCTCTGGAAGAGGACCTAAATGAAGGCACCAGACAATGCAACAAACCAAGAGGTCCCTGCACCCCACAGACAAGCCAGAGGACTCTAATAAACAAACACACAGTCGCCATCATTAACGCGACTGTGAGTCATAATCCTCCTCTTCCTCACAAAGAAAAAGGTTTCAATTTTTTCGTACCAGGGGGGAAGAATCCAATTTTCCGTTTTCTGCTCGGCACCACATCTGTACAGCATCTCCGCAACACTGAATCAGATTCAAGTGTACCGCTTTATTGCATTTTACTGCTGCTCCCCTGTTCCCTATAGAATGAGATGATGATATTTGGAGATAAGCGCCGCTCTAAAAAAATAAGCTTTATGGTCATGGAAATGATATTAGAAGACAGAGGTGCAGTAGTTGCTTTTTAAGTTGAATTCTCAAAACTCACTCCTTCACTGTCTCTGGGGCGAGTAAAACATTTAGACAATCACATCTGTCATCTATTATGATTTTAGTGAAGTGCGGTGCAGAGAGATGAGCCCTGGTGCACGTAGAAGCATAATTTAATATTGTTCTGTCTCTTTTACTCACAGATAGAAGTTGTGCGCTCATTCAGTATTTGTTTTTAAATCCCATATTTGGAGTAACTGAAACATTTAGTCAATAACTTCCCTCATTAGAGGAAAAGAAATGAAATGTTGAAAATGAGAAATGTTGGCAATCTTCCAGAAGCTGAGACCTGTATTCAGGATGATCCGTCCCGTCTCACATGAGGGATTAGTCTGGAGAAGGGAACAGGTTGAAACAGCGTTGTGGTATTTGTTGGAGTGAGGTGAGACCCTGTGTATCTTTACCCTCATCTATCAGTATCACACTCACAGGCCTGCAGCTCATTAATGCTAATATTAAACCTTCAATCCCAGAGTAAATCTTGATGAACAATCAGGAAGAGCAACAACCCCTCTCTGTTCACTGCTTTGCATTGCTCCAGTACGTCCCCCACTTCCTCTCCCACTCTTCCACACTGTCTCTTTCTCCCTCCTCCCTCCCTGTCTCTCTCTCTCTCTCTCTCTCTCTCCCTCCCTCTCTCTGCTCTCATCCAGCCGGCACAGACTCATTTAAGTCTGCTGATGTCTTGATAATGTTCCAAAGCCATCACAAGCAGGTAGAGGAGGAATTCCTCAGCTCGCTAATGAGCAGTAAATGGACGATCACGACACGAGTAGCTTTGTGGACAGTAAAAGAAAGTGCTTGGGTGCTGACTTTATATATATATAAAGTGTAAATTGTGTAATTAATTTGTATTCTTTATATTTTGCATTGTTTCAATCTTATATTTTAAATCTTGTTTATGTTGTATGCCGGATACCTTGCTGCTTTAACACAGGAATTTTCCAGTATTCTTTCTATCTATCTATCTATCTATCTATCTATCTATCTATCTATCTATCACTGTACGAGCTTAGTAGCCTAAATGAAAATGTTTTATGTAAAATGCTAAATATTAATATAACAAGGTGATTTATAATGTAGACTGGGACTATAATCAACAGTGATGAATAAAGAACATGTAAATTAGAAATTTTAAAAAATTGACGTATGCCCTGATTTTTTTAGGAAATACATTTAACTCAGTTTACATTTCGAATACAATGAAAAACTAAATAAATAACTGAAATATACAGCTACTCTACAATACCACTAGTTCTGAATAATAATAATAATGATAATTACAATAATAATTATAATTGTAGTACTTGTATTATTGTTTAGATGTGTTGGTACTTCCAGGTCACAGATCCATGAAGTTGACACCACACACTTTGACTTGTGGTCGTCCACACTGGATAGAATAACAACCTTTAACACTGATGATAAATAAGTTGGTGAATAATTCCAAAATAACACGACGTGTGTGTGTGTGTGTGTTGTATATTTTTTCACGTGCAGCAGGAGAGGCGGGGCGCGTGGTTCGTGGGGGGAAATGAACGCGCACAGGAAATATGATTGAGGCCCCTTTAAGAGTTTTTGGCCACTGAAAGTGAAGCGACAGCCGCGTCGGTGCGTGAGGAGCTTCCCTCCTGGATCTGCTCTGTAGTCCTGCAGGCTGCTGCTCATTGGACAACACCAGCCTCCAGTGCACGAGATTACACGTGTGAAGTTTTCAAATCTTTATCGAGAAGATCTGCTGTAACTGCAGCTGCTGTGTGATGTCCTGGAAAATACAATCAAATAGAGTCAAATACATGTGGATGAAAATAAAGCCTATTTTCCTTTAAAAACATAATGAATTAACCAAACACTGTGACCGTCATATATAATAAACATACACTATCGAGGTCTTCTGTATGTTTTCCTTCATTATTTGGAAGGATCATATTTAATGTTAACAATAAGGTGCATCTTCATTCCCACTGATTGGCTGAATTTTTTTGATTTTTTTCTGTACGTGCACGTGATCTCATCCACTCTGACAATATTTAAATGACGCATTGAAATGACCACTGGACAGAAATATTCTATCTGTTATCCTTTACATCTTCAGACTTCATTTGGCACATGCTGAACCCCCCGTGCGTAAAAGTCTAATAAAAGCTGGATTATTTTTTATTTTTTTTTAGGAAGCCCCTGTTGGTGAATTATTTCGTTTCACACGCGCACACACACACGCACATGCGCCACACATTAAGAAGCGTCTTTTGTAAGCGCCACTTTATTGTGGGACGGTACCGGGGCACGCGACTGGGAGCGCAGATTTGCGTCTTAAAGAGGATTTAGGTCTATTAACAACAAAAGGCGCAGTTCATGGCACCAGGGAGAGACCTCGACGTGTGCGTCAGGCGCACTGATGTGGAGCGGGCGCGCTGATAAATGGAGAAACATCAAACCGAGTCATTATGGAGCTGAGATATGAGACTTTCACAGTGGCGGGCCGCTCTGGGCGGCGCACCCAGGGGATCACACTCCTCTCCCGGCCTTTTGTGTTTGTGTGCTGGACTGATGAACGACTTAGATAACGTTAAGCCATTATGGGCTCACTTATTCCCATGAAAAGCCTGTAAATAGAGGGAACATTTTTTCACTGCAGATTTCTATTGATTCGCAGCCCATATTTGTAACCGTAAACCACAGAGGATCACAAGTGAATACTCAGATGGGAGGCGAGTTTACAGCAGCCAAATATTAATTACAACATGATCCCGTAATTAAATGTGTGTTGCTGTTGATCGTTGGCCTCTTTCTCTTTTAATTTTTTTAACCTTGAGTTCAGATAAACCTGTTTGCAGGTGGTAAATAACTTTAAACAACAAAAACGTTCCCCACAATAAAATTAGGCGAAAAATAAAAGTTTGAGGCCTAATATTTTTTTCTACATTTAACGTATGTCCCTAATAATATTTTGGATTGCACAACTCAATCTCCTTTTTTTAATTATTAATTGATCAATTTAAAAATCTGACTTGATAAATGTGCACCGTGCAAACCACACAGAGACTATAAATCCAATCAGCTGACAGGTTATAGGTGGAGTTCTGCTCAGATTATATCTTTCAAACAAATTTGTCAACTCAACAAACACAAAAAGAAAAGAAAGAAATCAAGTGACAGAACTTCCCCCCACCCCCCCCCCCAAAACATTTATACCTCCCATAATCGTGTTAATTAAATTTTCGTCGAATTAATTAGACACGCGGGCCAGCAGCCATACACAGACTCCACGCATGGGGCTGATCCACCGTGGGCATTTTTAATGACCCCGTAATTCAATTAACCGCCTCCATCAGCTCCATCATTGATTTGTGGAGGAAGAAGGAGAGAGAGAGAGAGAGAAGGAGGAGAAAAAAAAAAGCTGCTGAAAGTTGAATTCTGCAAAGTCGAGGCGGCCTGTAATTGCTCAAGACACAGATCGGAGAGAAGAGGGGGTGGGGGGGCCGGGCTGAGGTGGCCGTGTATAAATAGTGTGCTCTCAAATACACAGTCACAACAGCAGGAGTGATCTCACCTCCTCTCCACCCCTCCTATCTGCCGCTGCTGCCAGCCTCAGCCCCCAAAAAACACCGCGCTACGTCCGTGAGCAGTGGTGCCGCTGGTGAGGTGGCGTGTGCGCACAGAGACAGACGAGACGAGACGGTGCGTTGTCGTATTCCTGGCGGTCCACGGTGGATTTCCCCTGACCAGGACCACTACTGAGCGACAGAAGCGACCATGGAAGAGCTTACGGCATTCGTGTCGAAGTCGTTCGATCAGAAAACCAAGGAGAGCACCAAAGAGAGTATCACGTACAGGGAAGTTTTGGAGAGCGGCTTGACGCGGGCGAGGGAGCTGGGCAGCCCGGAGACAAACCTGCAGGACATAGCGGAGGGCAACCACTGCCCGGTGCATCTGTTCAAGGACCACGTCGAGCTGGAGAAGGAGAAACTCAAGGACTTTAATGTTTCCAGAGGGACAGATGGTAAGATCGGTTTTATTTTTAAGGGGATTGTGTTGAGGAAATGTCTCAAGTTCAGTTGTCTTGAATCGCCAGCGAGTTTTTTTTTTTTTTACAAATCCCTGCAAATCCGTGCGTAAAACTGGTTTTAATTCCACCGCCGTGCGGCTTCACTTCGCACACGGATAAAGTTTACGCATTATCCTGTTTATTAAAACCATTATTTTCTACAACGCAGGAGGCGGGCCCATGGTCTGACCGTCGTTTTAACTATTTGAGGATTGTTTTCAGACATTCAGCCTCGCGTCAAACGAAAAACAAACCAAAACAATATCCTGCTATTTCTTATAATTGTAACAATAGAATTATCATCTGTTATTTCTGTGGCGTTCAGGAATGAGCTTCACCTTATTTTAACAAGAATTAAAAAAATGTTGCCAAAACAAAAACATCTGTCACAGATAAACCCTCAACATCACCAAGTGACTTCACTTGTTTCTTTGTTAATATTTTACAGAAGCTATATATATTAAATGTGGCATCATTTAAAAGTATAACTGCAATGCTATTCTAATGATCTTTCCCATTTGTATGACGTGCAATTATTCTTTACATTATGTGCCCAAAATCAAATTTCAGCTTGTTATAATTTGAACAATCTGCCACTAAACAAATGAAAAATTGATTTTCCTTTAAAAACCATCACATTTATTAAATATTTAAAAGGTGCAGTGAGACAGTTGGACAGGCCGATATACAGTGAGGAGACTTTTAGACATTCAGTGAGTGATTTTTAACTTGTTTCTACATTTATCCAGTAGCACCATTAAAAATAAGGCTCTGCACTTTTCTCTATTATTCTTCCTTTTACCTTTTCATTAAATCCAAACCACAGAGAGGAAGTCTGCTTCTCTCTGTGTATGCGTGAGTGTGTGGGAGTGTGTGTGTGTGTGTGTGTGTGTGTGTGTGTGTCTATGTGTGTGTGTGGGCTTCATTTGATATTTATATAAAATCAAATGCTTTTCAGCTTTGGGGGAAAAAAAACACACTTTCACGTCAACAAACTACAAACAACAAAATGCGACAAGAACATTGAAGTAATTGCAGCAGTTGTCAAGTCTGTTACTAATAATAACAACACACATACCAGCTAATGGTGCAGTATATAGTCCAATTAAAATACAATAAAGCATGTATACTGACAACCTAAAAAAACCCACAAGTATTTAAAGTTTAAATGAAAAAAATATAGTGCTCCACATATTTGTATTTATAGTGTGAAATAACTCCTCTGTGATTGACTGAGGCAGGTAATGGGCCCAAATCTTTCTCAGCTTCACTCTTGGCTTTAAATTGCTTATTAATGTGACATGGCACGAATTGACTGATTTACCTTTACTACTGCACTGACACAGCTCACTGACTTATGGAGAGTGGAAATGTGCAGCCACGGGGCCCTCTCTGGAAGAATTAGGGTGTATATGTATATGTGAGCGTGTTTCAGCAAACTGCCAGGCCTAGAGCCCCTGTTATGGGGCCCAGTGTTGGCTATGGGGGGCCCCCAGTAATGGCTACATGTGTGCGTGAGAGTAAGAGAAAGGCCGGTGATGTGTGCGTATTTACGCGTCTCCCTCAGGAGGCTGTAATGTCCTGTATCTGAACGCGTCCTCTCCTCTTCCCCTCTTTCTCCAAACCTCGGGCCGCGTAACAGGGATATACGAGTGCAAGGAGAAGAAGGAGGACGTGAAGTCGGAGGACGAGGACGCGCAGGGCAAACTGAAGCAGCGGAGGAGTCGCACTAACTTCACCCTGGAGCAGCTGAACGAGCTGGAGCGGCTCTTTGACGAGACGCACTACCCGGACGCCTTCATGAGAGAGGAGCTGAGTCAGCGGCTGGGACTGTCCGAGGCCCGGGTGCAGGTGAGGACCCCTCTGCCTCATGCTCCGCTTTTTCTAAATTACGCATGTTTGTGTAGACTGAGCCACACACAGGAAACCACGTTTGTCCCACAACATTTGTGCAGAGACTTCTGCGTCTGCAGCGTTCACAGCCTCCTGCTGCACCAGACAGTATTACTGCTGCTTTGAGGGATAATATTGTAAAACGATGCATTGGCTGATATATTTCTTATATGATGGAAATGAAAACTGCGATTTGAAGGAGTTGTGTTAATGCCCTTATTTTATTCTACCGCCAAAAAACAGCCAAAATGCAAAAACGATTGAGAAGAAAATTAAAATATTGCGCAACACATGGAAGACAATTAATTAAATGGCTTCATCTTAAACTTATTCCATAAAACAATTAATTCTGTAAAAACTAATTCTGCCCTTTATTCTATTTTCTTTTCTTCTAAATAATTCAGTTTGCAGGGTTTGACATGTTGATGATGTTTTCAACCTTTGCAAAAAATGTTACAAAACGAAATACTGTGTGAGCCTCAGGTCTTCTTCAAATAATAACAAAATATGTCCAGAAATTACAAAAAAAGTGCAGCACTTTCCTCCTGTATCTGTGATGTAAATTCATCATGTGTCCTGCAACATGCAATAAAATTAAAACCCCATCAGTCTTCAGGCAGGTTGACCTCCCAGACCTCTGAGATTAATGATGCAGCCTCTGTCTCCTACAAAAGCTCCAAGTCTGAAATATTTTTACAAAATCCCAGTGGGGATTTAAACAGAGTTTCTGCTCCTTCACAGAGGATTTAATTTCTATTTTAGTTGTTCTGTGATTCCTGCAGAGACTTTTAGCTGTATTACTCTGACATTTGTGTAAAATCCTGCAAAACATGCACTGGATGCTTTGGGATTCAAATGATTCAAATTTAGACTGAATATTTAACCATATTTGTCCAGCATGTGTTTCCGGTGATGTAATTCACCGGGAGTTAAAATAACTAAAAATAAAAAAGTCAGTATTTATAAAGGCAGTGGTTTGTTATTATAGATATCAAACAAGTGTAATCTGCTGTAAATCACCCGGGATGTAAGAGCGTCCACCAGCAGGCCTGCAGCCTCCACTCCTACGATCCTTGGAGGAGGAAGAGGAGGATGAGGGGCAGTGAAGAAAAAAAAAATCCCCAGCAATGATTAAAATGAATGAAGAGCCTGAATGGCTGCTTCAGGGGACGCGCTCTTATGTCAACTCGTATCCCTCCTCATTTTCTTTGTAATATCTGCCATAGGCTTGATGTAGTGTCGCCATAAAAACACATTAGAAATAACTCGATTCTGGCCCAACTCTCGCTGCTGTTCACCATCTAATCGGATGAATAAAAAGCCATCACGGAGCTTTATAAGCCCGTCGACTACCGGTTTGAGTCAAACACGCTCGGACTTGCAGGGCAACACTTGCAGTTATCACTAATAAAGTGTGAATTAAAAATAATTGATGGTGTAAATTTGCTTGGTTAAGACCCCGAGTTTGCGTTTCCTGTGCGTAAAATGGATGTGGACGCACAGGAGGCGTCGTTTGTCTCTTATTGGAAAATAAAGCATTTTATAAAACCCCATGTTTTGGACACTTTTGGGGACACTTCTCCTCCTCACACACTCACACACTCTCACACACACTCCCTGTGTGTTCGAGTGAATTGCAGCCATGAGAACCTGCGCTCCGAGCAGCTGTCAATGAATCTAATTGAAAGTTATGAGAGCTTGGTGAGGAGCAGGCAGTAATTCGGTTAGGACTAATATCTTTGGGTTTCTGGCGCGCTGCTAAATTAAATGTCATTATTCACTGTCTCTAATAAAAAATCAAAAAGGAAATGAGATTAGGGTATTTGTGAAGCGCATCATTGAGTGGTCCTTAATGAAGAAATAACTGTCTGAACCAGTGTAGTTCACTTTGCTTAACATACTGGCGCGTAATTGGAATTGATCTCGGTGCCCGTCTAATATTAGCCTTGATTTATCTGAGGGGTTTACTGTGCGTCTATGCAAAATCACCTGGGATTTTCATAAACACCTTTTTCTACCATCATTTAACCGCTGAGCAGCTCACAGCTCATCCATCAAAATGTACAGTGTGTGCCACGATTTATAACAACAACAGCAACAATACTACTACTACTACAATCACACTAATAATTACATTTAATTGGTCAAATATAATTATGCGGATTAAATCTTAAATAATGCTGGAAAATATAACTTTAACGTCTCTGTAATGTGTGGACGAAAAAATGTAAGATTGATCTTTAAAATGCAAAACAATATATTTTTATGTTCACGTCACGTTTTCATTATTGGAGACGTTATTGACCGTGTTGCTGCTGCAGCCTCACCCACACAACGTGCATCGTCGCCCCGCGCAACTTAAAATGGCTCCACGGCACCTTGACTCATCATCCTCCGCATTATCTTCATCCTCATCCTCCTCATCAGTCTGTGCCCTTTGTGTAATTTCGCGTCTGTAAATGATAATCAGTGCGGGTTCGGAGGGGGGGGGTGGGGGGATAATGTTATTCACGGAGGCAAATTAGGCTGATGATGATTAACAATAGGCCGGAGCCTGAAGCCTGCAGCTCCACAGACACTCAGCACACTGCAGGGTGCTTAACGAGGATTACTTCTCATTTCAAAAAATATCCTTCTAAACCAAATGTCACCATATTATCTCCATTATGTTCCCACAGCCTGTGTGAGCCTGTTTCACTGCTGAGTTTACAGCGAATTTCGTTCTATTTTATGACCTATAAAACCACTGTGTTCTCCTTATAATGAACTGTGAAGCACAATAATACGTTTATTGGGTTTTGTTTGATCACCTATATGATTTTTTATTGAGGGTTATTTTCCCCCAGCCTCAATAAATCTTATTACTTTCCCACAAATGTTTTTATTATAGAAGTATTTCAAAGTAGATTTATGTACAAACTGACAGAGATTTAATTTACTCAGATATTTGCTTTTCTCTTTATTTGTTATTTATTTGTGGCCTCTCTACAAATTACAACTGATATAGAATAAAAAATAAATTTTGTTTTGATGTATTTAACTTATGGAGGATTTTCTTTTACATTCACAGGTTTGGTTTCAGAACAGAAGAGCAAAATGTCGAAAACAAGAAAACCAGATGCACAAAGGTAAATATCTCTTCTTCTAACCTTCTGTATGATATTTTATATTTTTCCTTTTTTCCTTTTTAAATTATTTTCCTTTTACTCTATATTATTTAAATATTTCTTTTAACTGCACGTGGAAAAAAACCTTTGACTTCCTCATCTCACATAACAACAACTGTCTGGCTGTCTGACAGACATCTTTCCCTTCACTCCAGGTGTTATTCTGGGCAGCGGCAGTCACCTGGACGCGTGCAGAGTAGCACCCTACGTCAACATGGGCGCCCTGCGGATGCCCTTCCAACAGGTAGGCCTCGTTTTCCTTATTAGCTGACGAAGCTTGAAAAGATGTAATCGAGCTCAGGTTGAATTCAATCTAGAAAAGTAAAAAATGCAGGCGGAGTTGCAGTAAAATAAAAAAAGTTGATTACTCAGCATCCTGTGATGCAGGGGTGACGACTGAGGAATCAGTGCTGGAGCTACATGTGTGATTCTCAGAGTCAAAGAAGACTTTCTATATTTGTGCATCCACATGAATCTAGGCCATGTGTATAGCTATTAGATGCAAGTGATACTGTGTGTTGGAGGAGGAAGCAGCTCAGACCTCAGTGCACCTTTCACCTCGTGGCTGCGTGGAGAGGCTCGAGAGGCAGAGGGGAGCGGGGTGGACGGACATTTGATCTGCTGCTATCTGCTTTTGTGTCCTGGCTGCTTTGTTGTCTGCTTGACCCTCGTGAAAAAGCAGCGGCCTAATTAAGCCAACAGTCCGGCACATAAAAGAGATGATGAAAGCAGGGGAATGAAGTCAGCTCTTATGGATATTGGCGTTGAGCTGCACCGGCAGGGGTGGAGGCTTGAGGCCTGCATACTGAGAGAGAGCTGCACTGTATGAGGGTGAAACAGGCAGTGCGCACAGGCTGCACTGGTTTTTTACAATGCAGCATATGCATATAAAACAAGTGGATGGATGGTCTTGTGGTTGGGTTGGGTGATGAGGTGTGAGGGTTAAATCAGACCAGAAACCTTTGCATCCTTCTTAAGGATCCAAAAGAAAAACTGCCACATAAAACAAACTAAAATGCATGTGAACAAACACATCAAACCTTCACCACCTGTTTTGTCAGGGTCATATTTGTCTCTGTCGTCTCCTTCAAAAAAAAATCCAAGTCTCAGTTTTCCACGAGTGCTTCTGTGATTTCATCTGAGGTCTGGAAATTATCAGTCACATCTGCAGTTTGTTACCTTATTGTTGGTAAATGAGATATCTGCAGTCTGCGTGAGGTTTTGTTTGGATACTATCGCAGAGCTGCCGAGCAACTATAAACCTGCGGTTCAATCGAGTTTCCCCTTTCATTTATCAACTCCAGCTCGAGTCATTCTCAGTATTTTTATGCCAAAGAAGAAAGGTAGAAAAGTAGAAAAAAATAATATTTAGTCAAGTTAAAACTTTGACTTTATATCATTCTATTTTGGTTGGAGAAGAAAGCATGAAATAGTTGAGTTTTCCCACTTCTTCCTGTGGTGTTTGAAACACATGAGAAATGGCAACAGGCTCAGTTCGCTCCCTCTGAAGTGAGCGGATGCTTAATTTTCACCTACTTCTTATAAAATAATTGCCAAGAATGTGAAAACTGATATTCTATGCTGCTTATGGTTTCTTTTTTTCCCTTGACTCAGGAATATGTCTGGATAAATATTTATAACTCCAAATATGTGAATGTCTTTTTAGTGCAAAATTGTTTATTTATGCAATTGAATACATAATCAGGATAACAAGACTGCATATTTCCAAGGGTATAACGGAGTCCTCAGTCTGAATTAAACAAATCTGTTCTGGGTCCTAGAAAGACTTTGATTCTGGATGATTAAATTGGATGTGGTGTCTGAGAGCTATGTATGATTCATTAACTTTTAGAATAGCTGACATGAAGAAAGGGCTCAAGTGGAGAGTGCAGCTCTTAAATATTTTCTTAGAAAACATAGTGTAAGCAACAGCTTTGAGGGGGTAAAATTTGAGGGGGAATTTAATAGTGTCAGAATGTGAAACCTGAATCCGAGACCCTCTTAACACACACACACACACACACACACACACGGCCTGAGGCTACGATGCCGACTAATTTTACACTTCGCTGTCCTGCAGGTCCAAGCTCAGCTCCAGTTGGATGGTGTCACCCACTCCCACCCCCACCTGCACCCTCACCTGGCCGCTCACGCTCCTTACCTGATGTTCCCGCCCCCTCCCTTCGGACTACCAATCGCATCTCTTGCCGACTCAGCCTCTGCAGCGGCGGCAGTGGCGGCGGCTGCCAAAAGCAACAGCAAGAACTCGAGCATCGCCGACCTGCGACTCAAGGCAAGAAAACACACCGAGGCTCTGGGACTCTGACCCCACCGGGCTGCCCCTCCGCTCGCCTGATGCCCATAATCGCCTCTCACACAAGACTGGGCCTGTGAAAGGGCCGTGACACTCACAGCTAAAACTAAACTAAACAAAAACACTGAGTGAGAATGAAAGGAGAGGAACACATACAGAGAGGGGGGAGAGGGAGTGTGTGTGGGAGAGAAAGGGGGAGAACAGTGGAGGAAGAAAATAAAAAGAAGGAGGGAGTGAGAAAATTGTCACAAAACCAGCTGCCAAAACAAACCACTTGTAGAGAACGGTAATTAAATACCAATGAAATCACCTTTTACTTTTCGCCCCAACAGGCAGGACTTCTGCGGGGCCAGTGGCTCAGTCCACTCCAGGCACAGATCACATCCCAAGGACCGTACAAACACATGTGGATGTCTGTCTGAGGGCCGGGCCGGGGCCCGTCAGACCAGAAGACGTTAGAACAAAGCAAACTGGCAGGCAGCAGCAGGGCCAAAAGCAGAGCCTCGCTGACGCTGGCTGCCGCCATGTTGACAATGCGAACAGGTTGAGCATGTGGGAAACAGACTCACACATCACCTCACCGAAGCATTGGAACAGCTCTCACCTTTACACCCCCCCAACCCAAACCACCACACACTAGAAAAATGAAGGAAAAAAAAAGAAACTTTAAAAAAAGGCCATATTTGTCTCCAACCACTGTGTTCCATGCTGCTGCCAAGTGCATGAGCTCTAATGGAGGACCATTCTGGGACTGGCCTCCATCCACACCTGACACAATCGCTCGACAACTGTTTTTAACACTGCCATTCAACACGCCCGCAGCCCCCCTACACCTACAAAGTGAAAGGTCTCCATTACGGTTTGATATCCCTCTTCTTCTGGACTTGTGCTATAGCAAAAAAAAGCAACAACTCCTTTTTCCTTCGCCGCAGAGTGGAGAGACATTTTCTCTGTCGCTGGGCATGTGTCGGCGAGGTTCGGTTTGCTTTTCTCCTCACAGCGTGCTCCCTCTGTCCTTATTTCTTTCTGTTTATTGTGTTGTATCCTGGGTAAAGAAGTGATGATATGCCTTTGCACTTCAGGTCTTGTATGTGGGTGTTTACAAATGGCACTACAAGCAGATACTACTTTACTAATTAAAATGGGGGAGGGGAATTTGATATCGTTATGTGATCAGCAAAAAGGACATTATCTTGGATAAAGGGTATTAATGCGATTTTTTCTCTCCTTTTTTTGTAATTCTGAAAATATGAAGAACGCATCAGTCTAACTGAAATGCAATGGTGTGCAGTTTAAGTGCAATACTGTAAATAGCAAAAAAAAAAAAAGTAAAAACAGCTAGCGAGTTAGCTCTCAACGATAAAGAGACCCAATGATTTTCTGTTGCTTTCCGTGCACTGTTGGAGTGTTGAATTTCTTTGCCAAACACACCAGTCTATTCTACGGCAGTGTATATTTTGTTGAGTTGAAGAAAAACCAGGTGCCATATCCCGCCGACCCTCCTATGTATCCAAGCGGTTTTGCATACATCAGGTACAGTTGTCACTTGTTGAGGAAGACATGAGCACATTTTTCTAAACTGCAGAAATTAGGGGTGAATAAAAAAAATGATCTTCGCTACTTTACTAACACGAGAAAAATCCACTTACTGATGGATTTTGGAAAATGTTCATACTAGAATCAACAAATCAGCATTGTAATCCAAAACCAAGCAGTTGTTTACAATATGATTCGCTTAATTCTGCATGTTATATGTGACATTTCATCGTTGATTTCCACCTAATCCAGACTGTATTTCACAAATTCCTCCAGACAAAATCACGACATGTGGATTGTTTTTGGAACTCAAAGATTATTTTGACAACCTTTTCAACACTGCTGTCAGAGCGGCGACACACGTGTAGACCCGTTTACGGCCTGCGTACCTCTAACAGTCTCCAAACAACATTCTCTCTGTTCACAGACCTCCATTTAGAATCGTTTATCTATGTCTCCATTTTAAATTAAACATATGGGTGTTTTATTTATTATTTTGTCTAAAAGGTTTATGAAAGATGAAATAGTTGAACTACAAGTGTACATTTTTACATGGCTTTGCATTTATTTTTGTATGTTTTTTTTCAGTGTTTGAATTAGGAGGTGTGGCTGTAGTGCATTGTTTGCCTAAAAAAATGTAGCGTGTCCAAGTTTACAAACATTTCAGGGATGGTTGAATTGAATAATACTCCATGGAATTTGTTGTACCCATTAAAATGATTCATCATTTCATATGCAAGCATGCCTAAACATGAATCATCGTACAGTTTGTTTTTTTCCCCCGTTTGATTCACAAATTATGAATGTACATCTTGTACAAGTAAACTATCAATAAAGTTATAAATATTTGTACTCAAGCTTTACAATTTGACTTGTTAAACTGCACAAGAAACACTGAGTTTCATTCAGCAAGCTACTTTGTACACAAGAACACAAACGAGACATGGATCCTCATGAATTAAAGACACATCTAACTGCTTTTTAAAGATGGCAACAACTGTCCAGAGCTGATTCCCTCGCCTTTAATATCTCACATATTTCCGTCGTCATGCAAGCTCCCGCTCCCTTCACGCCTCACACCGTGTTGGGGCTGATGCTCATCAACTGTCTCAACCTGTGGATCAATATCAATATCGTTCAAAAGTTGACATTCACACAGACTCTGTGTTAGCTGGCCCAGCTCATCACGTCCAATATGAGCCGCACGCTGACAGAGAAAATTGAGCTGCTATAAAATCCAGATGCACCCCCACAAGAGTGGAGCGTTGTGCAGGGGACGACTCTCTGCCTGTGTTCGTCAAAATGACATAGATAGCATTTGTGCGGAAAAAGCGGCGCTGCGATATCGTCAAATAGAAGCAAGATGGCTGTAACTGGAGCAGGGAGCCTGGAAGTGCAGCGGGGAAAATAGACGGCGAGCGAGAGATGTGTGGGATAGTGGACGCATGACATGTAATGTGCTCTGAGCTCAAACGGGATCTTTTCTCCATGTTCCAACGGCGTTGATTAACTTTGAGCAGATGATGTGAAAAGGTCAGGAGTGGCCATGTGTTCATCAGCGTCTGCATTTGAATTCAGACTTCCCACCACACACATGCACACACACTTATGGATTATTGCTCTCTCTGTCTACTTGTTCGACTCACACATACTAAATTTTGCACTTCTAAAATGCTCAAATCATTGGTCTGCCTTACTTTTAAGTGTATAAGCTTCCCCCAGGACCTTAATTCCAGATGTGTGTACACAAAGTAATTAGACCATGTGGTATAGTGGCCTATTGTCTGAACCCCATACAGGAATTAGCCCAAATGGCGTCCTGTTGAGTGCAGTACCCCCTAGAAGGTCGCTGCGCGTTTAATTTGTACCTCTTTGCTCATACATCAAGATTGAGTGATATAGTCGCAGACTGATGGCTCCGTATTTACCCAGTGACCCCTCCGGCTGGGGCCTGCTGGGCCGGCTCTGGAAATAACAGCATCCTTTTATGTGTACAAATAATTAGCGAGGCACACTCGGCCATCCATCAAGTGCCAATGAGCCATGGCTGCTTTGTCAACATGTTCAGGCACATAAAGCTATTTATGTTGGCCACAGGTAACTAATACACAATAATATATTAATAGAGATGGAGAGGAAAGTGTGTGTGTGTGTGTCTGTGTGTGTGTGTGTCCGTGTGGAAATTAGTGGACAGCTGTGCTCAGTATTAAATTTACATCTGGTTAATCGTTGATGTGCTTCACGTTTTCTCGTGTCTGAACTTCTTTGTTGTTTTTAGAGAAGTGTGCAGCTGAGTTTGAAATCATTAAAGCATTTATTATAAAACAACTGACATGCTCTATATTATGGGAATGAACTGTAACAGTGACAGTTTTGATCTTCAGAAAATTTCCCATTCTGCTTCGTACGAGCACAGGCTGCAAAACATGCGAGTCCCAGAGGTCTGAGCCGTGGTGGTATGCTACGCTACAGCTCATCAGCGGTCAAGTGCTCAGGGGTCACGTGAAAATAGTTTTTTATCACATTTCATTCTCATAATCCTCTTTGAAATGTCACACACAACTATGATCAGACGGAATGTGAGCTGTCGCAGCCTTAACGTAAATCTGGCAGTGGTGTGAAATGACATGACAGAGCTTATAGGCCTGAGAAGACAGTGAATATTTAGCTCAAAGACACGGAGCCGGAGCGTTTAGTCATTTTAGCTGTATCACAATACCTCGAGGAGCTACTTGCAACTCTGAAAATAACTGTCTTGTGTTTGGTTTAGCTGAGAGTTGTTTTTTTCTGGTTCTGTTCCGGCAGCTTCAGTTTGTAGCTTGAAGTGAAGCCACCCAGAGAAACCTCAGCTGAAAACAATTGAGCTGAAGTGCTGAAGTCACTACGGTCGGCAGCGGATCAAAGGACGCCTTTCATCCCAGTTTGTTTGGGCTAGACTTGGGTTTGCTTTGTTGGCTAATGCTCATAAATGTATCTGGAGTCATCAACAGTGCAAAACTATATTAAAACTAACATTTTAAGTCTGGGTCAACACGTTTTTTTGCAGAAGAGGTGGAGAGTGTCAAGAAATGAAACTTAGAAAATTGAGAAAAGAAAAAAAATATAGCAGAATATTAAGTTCACATTCCGTTCAGCCGTTTATGTTGCAGTCATTAGCAGGTAATTTTCAGTTCAATGTTTCGGCTTGTGTTGTTCTAATCCAAGTCGGTTATCTAATAAAAACACAATATTTTCTGTCCTGTTGCAGCGTAATGTCCCATCAATTTGCAGTCATTAGTGGAAAAGAATCAGCTTCATCTGTAAATACTGAGGCCAGAAACAAAACAAATAGTAAAATGTGACTTAAAGAATTATTCAAGTTGCAACTTGAACTTGCTCAGGTCATGATCTCACACACACACACACACACACACACACACACACACACACACACACACACACACACACAGATTTATTTAACTTTTACACTAATTGTAGTCACTTAAAAGACAGATGTAGCATGAGATATGGAAACTGTGCATGGCGGCTGTGTTTAACTTGTCTCGGTTTGTTCTCAATCTTCTGGTTAGCTCGGGTTAAAGTGGGTTTCTCTGTTGCGGAGTGTCGTTGCAGCTCCATCCAGTGGGCTCGGAGTAATTCTGAACAGAACTTTTTTTTTTCTTGTTCGTTTCTCTCTCTCTCTCTCTCTCTGCTCGGAAGATACAGCCACGATATACAAGACGCAGTGTCAAATAGCAGCCAAGTCAAAGTTTTTCCTGATGTAATCACTGTAAAAATAATCAGACAGGTTCATGTAAACTATCTGTGTCAACAATGGATTTAGTTAAGTCATACTTTCATACCCACAGTGTTACTTAACTTATGACGATGAAAGAAGGCTGAATAAAACTGTCATGTGATGAAATATCAGATGTGAATAAGCCTTTTTACGTGGAAGACATTTTTGAATCTAACCGAAGGGAAAGCAAAAGTAAAAAACAAAGTTACCCATGGCTGAATTCCAAGGTGCAGCTTGTATTAGAATCCAAATTTGAAGAATGTTTAACTGAAACATTCAGCTTCAGTTAAAACATTAGCTGTTTTAATAATAACTTTAATCCTGTTTCATTTCATTAAAAGCGTTGACTATAAAATCTTCACTGCCAACAAACCAGGTAGGATGAACACAGTTTTCTAACTTTACTGAATACCATAGAGTATTGATAAAAATCTTCTCTTCTCTAAGAATAAGAAATAAGCCAAATTTGATGCACATAATTCAAATGAAAATAACTTTATTGTGTGGGTGGTGTGGGATTCAGTGCAATAACATTGAACATGTGAGTCTGTATTGTTCTCACTGACAGTTATTCATGTTCATCACCTCTTTGAACTGCCCACAGTCACTGACAACACATGAACTTTATTGTCAAGTGACTTTTCCTTCAAGAATAAAACTGCTTCATTTTGAAGAGACAAAAAAAATCCCGTCCTTGATAAATGATGCATCATTGTTTTTCTTTCACTTTTTTCCTCTTTGTGTGTTTTTTTTATTTTTTGACTGCTACATGCGTTTGCTGCGAATAAACATTCAGCTGCGGCTTAAAACCATAATTCATTTTGAAACGTCCTCCATTGAAGTGCTGAGTAACAAACACTTCACTTAGAGCTGTTTTCAAAAATATGTTTCTCAAAATGTCAAATCTCTTTACTGGAGTTTTCTTCAAAGTCTTACTTTTTTTTTTTTTAATTACACAACTTCAAACCAGTATTTAGACAACAAATTCACCCTGAGAAAATAATCATTGCATATTAATGTGATCAATAATCTCAACCAAACAGCAGTTTTATTTCCAGCCGGGCTGCCTGTTTATCTGAGCTGCACTTCAATGCAGACACACACACACACACACACACAGTCGAAGCTGTCGGCCTTGTGAGTAAAAATATTTTTAGGTTGTGTTCTTATTTACAAAAAAATTAATCTGAATGGGAACGCAAATATGATTAAGTCAAGAAATTGAAAAAGACGTCAACAGTAAACGTTTGCGAAACATCGCCACAGACCATCAGACTAAATTCCTGGGCTATTAGCTTTAGTTAGCTCCGATTGCCAGGAGGTCTCAGATTCACATTCCTCATCTCAGTGCATGTTCGCTCAGTCGTACAGTGGAGAAGCAGGTGGTCCACAGTGATGTCTTAATGGCATTTGTCACAGCGAGTGGATCAAGAGCAGCGCTGACGTTAGCCATTAAACACTCGCGGCGAGAGAGAATCAAAAGCAAAGGAAAACTGAACTCTTGAGTAAACATATGATGTAGGACTTCCCCTTTAAAAATGTTCCAAACTTCAGTGTGAGCGCTTGACGGTGGAGAACAACTTTCCACGTCTTTATTTTGCAGCTTGCCTTCACAGTCAGTCACCCAGAGTGGTTTATGCTAATCTGGACCAAAGCGGAGCAAAGGTCATCGCAATGATTTCTCCTTTTCAACACTCAGCTCGGAGATCTCTCAGAAGCTCTTTGTTTTGATGTGGCGCAGCAAAACATCTGTTTGGCAGAGAAGCGGCTCTGATACATTTCCAGAGACAGATAAAGAGTCTGTGCACCTTGTTGAAGGATTACACTGCTGATGTGGTGGCCGTGCTGGGCTGTGAGTGTGAGGATATTTCATATAATCCCACAAAATAACGGATAACACCTCTCATACTTTGATTCAGGTTGTTTTTTCTTAATTGCCTTGGCTACACTTGCCCTGGCTGTAAGCAATATTATTAGTGTGTCTAGTGAGCTATAAAA